CATCAATGCAACTCCTTGTGTATATGTGGCATTTCCTTCATCATGGCCGGAGTATAACATAAGCTCCCCTGAAGCTAGTCGTTGTTGTCCAACATGCGTCCAATGTGTTTACTGGTACCAAGCACCTCTAGGTTGTATCTCCTCATTTCTGCAGCAATTTAGAATAGTCTCCCGGTCTCCCACATGGTATGAATATCCCATGTACCTAAATAAATGGTTGTTCTGGTTGTTATAAGGATCATCGGCCTCATGACTTCCGAAGGAACTCGGCTTTCATTATGAGGCTTCATGGTTCTTCTAAATGGTGCGATTTTCTCATACATTCAATTACGGACAAATAATAATAATATTAAAACGATCATGATACGATTGTTCTATGCATTGCCCAATCTAGATATTCTAGAGGGACAAGAATTCTCAGTGCTCTTGGTACAGAAGAAGAAATGCTCAAAAATGACGGGATATACTCAGCCGGATCAATGGCTACGAAAGTGATAGAAGCTAACAGTGGAGAACTACTGGGAGTCTATAGAGAAAATGATGCTAGAAGCCATTACAAAATATGACGACCCAAATATAAAGACATCAGGCAAGAGGTTAACTCGGCTGTTTAGTGGCACAATTATTCCGCTTCAGTCAAAAATGAAGGGCAAGTTAGCGTAAAAACTGTCTTTCAGGAAATCTGATGAAATACTATTGCTATTACTTGTGTCGACTGATTTACCAGTGAAAATATATTGTTATGTGATTCACATAATCAGTCAACTTCCATTGGTAAATGCATCAAACTCTCAGCAATTGGTGTAAACTAAGCATTAAGTTTAATGTTTATAGTATCAGCAGATCGACTGCCTTCACTAACAAGTATAGCTGGGTTATTATGTTGCATTGAGGATCCTTTTTGACAGATCTCGACGGTAGTTCGTTTCTAGAACTAAGAGGCAGAATTATAACCAAAGTTCAAAGTGACGAAATATATTTTTAGATAGAATTATTCAACAGAAGACTAGTCAACCCTCACTAAATACTTATATTCATTGCTTGCTCATAAACTGTCCTGTATGTATGTCGTAGTAATCTTTCACTTTACATTACCTCCACAGATATTCTCCCGAATGATTGCACAGTAAATGGCAAGTAAACTGGTAATGTCAAACTTTGTCTAACTGCGGATTACACACGCACGTCACTAAAGCATTGTCTAGTGAAACAAATACACGCGGTGTTTAAAGGTTTTTGGCGGGAATCCGGGAAATTCGCATAGAATCATGTCAAGCCACCTCGTTTGGGATCTAATTAAACACAACCACTGTTTCCTGATGAAACGTGGCCGCGAGCGTTTTAGTCGTGACCCACTTAACTTAAAGGGAAAAAACTGCTTCAGGTATTGTGGTCTTGTTCACAAGAAGGCTATCGGGATCAAGGAGGAGAAATACGGGAAGGGTGTCGTAGTCATCACAAAGAATGTTGCAAAAGACCATAAACCAGCCAAAGCAGTCACACGAACAAAGTTTGTGCACGGACGTAGGCCTACTTTGAAAAAAATCAGGAACTTGACATGCAAGCAAAAATACAGAAGAGAACTAAAGATGGTAAGCGTATATATACTCTAAGTTCTGTTTCTTTCAGCTGGCGCTGCGTCGAGCTAGTGCACTAATGCATAACATGAAGCCTGCCGCACAGTCAGCCCCGAAAACCAAAAAGACATAGCCTTATTATCTTGGTAAAATAAAATTTGTAAACACTTAATTGTATTATGTCTAAGCTGGGAACTGGTGATTACTTGGTCAATACCTCTAAGTTCTGTCTTTTGGTTGCCCAAAAGGGCAATACTCATGTGATTGGTAGCAACATGATTCTAAGTATGGTAGCTTGATTTCTTTCTTGTGGCATATCACGTTTGTGGTCTACAAGTGAATTCTAGAAAGTTTGTACATGAAATTGAACCCGTTCATATGAACTAATAATTTATTGCTCTTGAGGTTTGGCTCTCTGTATTGTCACAAACCACTGTTAAGTCCATTCATACATTGTTACTTTGGGTCAAAATCGTCCTGCGATAACTATAGGGGGATTAGCTTGACCGATATGGTGTCTAAAATACTGGCCTCAATAATTATTGGACGACTAACAAAGACTCGTGAATTGCAAACACGAGAAAATCAGGCTGGCTTTAGAACTGATCACAGCTGCATCGACCAAATATTCGCCATTCGTCAAGTTTTAAAACACTGGCATACTTATCAGCGTCTGACAATGGTGGTCTTTCTTGACTTGAAAGCAGCATTTGACTCCGTAGACCGCGAGTTTCTGTGGTAGTGTCTGTCATTGAAAGGTGTACCCCAGAAGTACTTTAACATAATGAAGGCCCTTTATTCGAACACTAGTCGAGTGTCATCTGTTTTTTCAACCTTAAGTGGTGTCCGTCATGACTGCCCACTTTTTCCATTTTTATTTAACTTCATCGTAGACATACTGGTGGGACACGCTCTCGTCGACTGCATTTTCGGGCACCGATCTCCTACCAGGACGCAGGTGGCATAGTCCTGTCCGGTTAAGACGCTGACAAAATGCAGTCTTTTGGTAGTACTGAGCAACGGTGCCAGAATGTTTGGAATGCGTTTCTTCACCTGCAAGTGCAGTTTGTTGCTTCAGGACTGGCCTGCGTGAACACCTGAACTAAGGATCGTGAGTGAAGTAGTCGAACGCGTTGACAACTTCACTTATCTTGGGAGTCTGACCAGCCCAAATATGTTGGTGTCTGACGAAATTTCTGCACGGATTCGAAAACCTCGCTTGGCTTTTGCCAATTTACGTCACCTATGGCGAAGGAGATATCTGTATATAAATTAAGAGACAAGTATACTGCTCGGCAGTTCGTTCTGTTCTACTTTACGGCTGAGAAATGTGGTCATTAGGAGTAGAAGATACTCGTAGGCTATTAGCATTTGATCACAAGTGTCTTAGAAATATTGCTCGCATCTTCCGGGACCACCGGGTAAGTAATAGTGAGGTTAGACGCAGGGTATTAGGGAATGATGGTGAGTCAGCCAATGAGGTTGTATATCTTCATCGACTGAAATGGTTGGGTCACGTGTTATGTACACCTGAACACTGATTAGCACGACGCACAATGCTGACTAGTGTGGGTGACAGATGGAAGAAGTTTGGGAGTGGTTAAATCAAAACGTGGCATCAGTGTTTGAAGTCACTAACTTTTAGTCTGAGTCATGTTGGTAGATGCAGACAACTTGGTTAGTGTCCGCGTGACTATCGTAACCAATGGTTGGAGACTGGATGACATGGCTCAAAACCGATCACAATGACGTCGGTGTATACACTCTACCGTCCTTTAAACCGTGAGATTAAAGATTGATTTATATCTCTCTACGAACTAATTCTTCCTGTACCATATCCTTATATGCGATCTCCCTTCTATATATTACTACCATGGAAGTAACTACTATGAATTTGGCGTTCATCATTTTGTACTGATGAAGTGTGACAACTCGGACCGATGCATAAATGTACTTAGTCCAACGTCCCAACTGACTGACTGTATTGTTATTTATTTATTTGTAACTAAGCTCCGTATTTCATTCGCCTACCAAAATCACAGCTGCTTTTTATCATCTCTGGGTGCTGTAATAATCGTGTTCACATGTGGTATTGTAGCAAGGACACCGTACAAATATTTGCTCCCATTGAGAGTGGAACTAAATGCCGAAAATGAAATTAGCCCAACGACTAGAGTATTTTGGTATGTGTTGCCTTTGCCTCTTTCAAGTATGTGCCTGAGTTGACATCTCACTGATATCGTGAAGAAGGACAAAACAATCTAGCAGGGTCCAGCAGTGACTTCAGACAAGTGCAATGCAGCTTAGAAACTCCACCCATATCTTCTTTTAGAGGCACTTAAAAGATTTCACAGGAAGCATATGCAATAACTTCACGGTTCCGTTACATTTAATTTCGCCACATCGTTTACATACAACAAGATGTCTGGTTTTCAAGTTATGCATTCGTTATGTATATAATGCTGTATGAACCTGGAGATACCAGTATGTTATCGCTCAGATTTTAGGAGTGACTTATCTAGTAAAAGATGCTAATAGGGTTTAACTGCGATCTTTCTTATTTGGACTTTGTAACAAGCACCAAATCTACGAACACATGCCGGTGTTCTTTGACAACATATTACCGAACGACGGAAGTTGTACCGCCTAGTATCACTTAATTTAGCAGAGACAGCGAACCGACATAGCGGCGCAACCGTTTTCGCGAAACCATGAGGAAGATATCAGTCATTTTGCCTACCAAGCGACAAACTATAAGACTTATGACCCTCTTCCTATAAGACAAGTTGTTCGAAAGCACTATCCTCTTTCTTATTTGTTTCTGAGGTTTCCTTTCAACTAGCGCTTGCATAATTATGCATGTAGGACAAACAACTGTGGTGGAATACTCCATATGAAGGCAAACGAGTATTCGTAACATCGAGGAGTTCGAGCCAGATTTCATCTCGAGACAACTCGCAACCTATAATCTCATCTATCATAACTTGAACAAAATACAATACAAGATAAATTACCTAAGCAAGCCAAATCCATATAACTCTGCACTGTCCATTTAGTCTAGTTAGAAACAAACATAAACAAATGTAATAGGGAGTACTTTTAGCCCTGCCCAGGATCAACATTTTGGAGGTGTAGTGCTCTCTGAATTCGATGGTCTGGTCGTGAGACATTCATCATCCCATCCACCTAGACAACGTCAGTAAATACTTCGAAACAATCATCTAGTGTAATAAACAAAATACATAGACATATCGACTGTTAACAATGTGGCTGGCGTTAACATGCCCAGTTACACCATAGTCAACAATTTATTATATCCAAGTAGTTGGGGAAGTAGTTTTCATAGAATATGAAGTAGGGCTTTCTGGGAACTGACTTTTTTCGTTCTTGACATCTTTACTACTTTTACAAAAATAAAGGCGTATCATGAATTGATGAAATGTATATTTAAAATATTTGAATGGTTCTAGTTATTAGGAAAATCGATGTGCAAGTATGGCATGAGAGTTAAAAGTTTCGACAACAAACCATCCAAGTGTTGCGTGTGTATGTTTATATAAATTAAAAATGACAGTTTATCAGAAATAATAAAACGAATACTAGCGTTGATGATAATAATAGAAACCGAACCATGAGTAAGTAGATCTCAAGAGTTCAACTTATCAATTAGGTTGAAAAGTTTGGTAAGATCTTTTGAGGCGCAATCTCCTTGTTCACGTCCAGTATTGGTCCTTATAAGCAATTTCGGAAGCCACTCATTCATAACTTTATGGAAACGTTCAGATGGATCAATATTTTGTAGAAGTCGACTAATCCAATATAAAAGACGTCCACTGGCAAATAACATCCAAAATGGATAAAAGCTTATGAAAGGATTCCTAAAATGTGAACAACTATCAAATTTATTACTATTTGACATATAAAACGGACAAAGCACCTCAATCATTGCAACTAAATGCTTTAAACCAGTGGCCATACTTTGCAATTCATTAAGTTGGTGAACTTGCTCAATACAGAAGGAACGTTTATTTACTTCTTGACAACAATTTGATTCGGCCACATCAGCACACTTATCGAGATGTGTGCGAATAGAGTTAGCGAAATCTCCATCAACATCACGATTTCTACCGAGAAATTCACGATTTGAATTCATTGCGATTGTACAACATGACAACGCAAGTGCAACTGGCGATGTCTTAATGCTTTTAGCTTCGTTTTGAGCATGAGATGAACATCTGAACCATAGAATTAATAAAATAGCCAAACCTTGTATTTCAAGAGGCTTAAAATCTTTCTCCAAATTCACATTGAAAAATTTAGAGAAAAAAGTTAAGAACGACAATTCAGGCGTTTCAGCACTAGGGGGTTTCAGAGGCTTCATCGACATTAAAGTCTTCGTAAAATCACCATTCAGGTTTCTCCTATACTCACTGACACACTCATTCTCCATTCCACATAACTTTCCACTGGTGCCCAAGTGGTTTTCAAGTCCATATATAAGTCCATTTATAGCACTTCTCATCTTCGACATACACTCATCAAGCGAATTAGGAATCTTTACGTCCTCCATTAGTAAACGAGAAAAAGCACCATTTCGTACATACATGTGGTCAAGTAGGGATGGAATTAAATCCAGAAATCTAAATCGCCTAATCAATTCTTTCGGCCAACGGTGAAATATACTGTCTTCATCATCATTTCTCTCCAATACAGGTTTAGAAAATTTGCAAACATCCTCACAGTAAGAACCCCGATAAGTTGTGGGATTCTGAATGCTCAAATTTCCCATCTTGCTTGACAACGAAACACTTGATGAGATATTGTGTTCAGTTGAAAAGCCTAATTCACGAGCCAGGTTTTCTCCTGAACTACTTAGAACATAATCCGAAATCCCTAAACGGATTGTATTTCCAATACCATCCCTTTCGTTTTCCTCGTAAAGTGACAACACCAATGACAATGGTTCTTCTATGTCACGGAAACTTAACAGCCAGTTAAATATAGCATCGATACGTCTTTGATAGTAGGACTTCCTCTGTAGTTTAGAAGTACGGATTAGTGAATCGATGATAGTTGGAAGGTGAATATTTGATATCATGTCATTACCAACGAGAATGGCAAAAAGTGGTAACATAGGATACTTGAGTTTAGAAAACGGTCCTGAATTATTAAGAATTGAACACGACATGACATAACATGGAGCACCACTCCGTTTACAAATAGAACAAAGGACGGATCTTTTCTTAGAATAACGTGAAATAGTTGAAAATGGAATAAAATGATACACTTGATTATTATCGTTTGGTCGATAAATAAAAAAATCAGAATCATTACTGGTAACAGGACATTGAAGATGAACAGCAAGTTCTGCTGTACTGATATCAGCTTCACGTTCACATGCTATGTATCGAATTGAAGATTCACGCAGAATTTCAACCAGAACATTTCTGTTAAGTCGTGGAGCTATATCAATGTTCAACTCTGTGCTGCAAGTTGACTTAGCAATCAGAAGAGCTGATGAGAGTTGTTTAAAGTACTCCTTGTTCCGCTTCATCAAAGTATCCAATTTTGTTCCCTAAACAAAGCGAAAAACATCATTAGTTAATTCACAAAATCAATCACTGTATGTGACTAACTTCAAAAACATATAGCTCAAGATGTTTGGTGTTATGTGTCTCTTCATTCATCACATTCGATCGTGAATAATTGACCATCACTCTGAGAAATATACCAATAAACTGACAGACAGTAATGAAATCATATCTCGAGTGGTGCTAAAAAGTTTATCACTACGTATAAAAACTCGAATAACACTAAATATTTGGCTGATTGTGTACGCGCACTGCTCACGAGTCAGTCACATAATAGGACCAAACGACCGTCTAGTGCTTCAGTCGTGGTTTTCAATGGTGGTGGTCTAGCTTACATTGACTTCTGAATTCAACTGGGAAATTTCTTAAATTAAATGCTTAATAAACAAATTATTGTCATATGAATGAAATAGACTTCCAGGTATGCAAGTGACTGACTAACTGACTGCATCAACATCTTCATTTGTAGATGTCATAACTCGAGTCTCAATGTAAAACAGTGTTTAATGTCTTGTTGAAGAAAAAGCCTGAATACACAAACAAAATGATCGTTGGCATTTTGCAACATTAACATTAGCAAAGTGGGGACATTCTATGTGCAGACCATAGCGCTTCAAACACACTTTCTCATGGTTTAATTCATTAGGCAACTGTAGTATTGACCAACTGTATATAGATTTACATCTACCTGCCAAAACACCTCTACATTGGCCAAACAGAAAAGAGGGCATATTTCAGATTTTCCGAACACGTTCCGAAAATCCTCACAACAAGAGAAAGAAACACTCTAAATAGTGCAAACATCTTCTTGATACAGGATATCAGGTCGATACCTCGCAATCTTCAAGGTGATTAGTAAGTAAACAGCCAAATTACAGTCTTTTCAAGTTTGCTCAACTCAAGCCCGTGTTATCACATGCGTCAAAAACCTGACTTATGTATTCAAATTCAAAACCAGATGGTTATTAATCTTTCCATGCCTCGCCTTGGTCACAAATATACCTTCGCTGCATCCGATAATAATTATTATTATCATCATCATCATTGTTTAACTCTTTCTTGCATTTATTGCATCATTCACTTGTATTTCAACTATCTTCCAAATTCATAATCTTATTCTTATATCAACTCAGCTCTACTCACTTTATTCCAATCATCAGCATTTACTCATTATGTAATCACTTGTATTCAGTCTATTCAATTTATTTACACCCTTGCTATACTATACTATACTAATCTGTCTTCAATATAACTTCCATCCAACCTAACTTTCTCATGTAAGTCGTTTAAACCTATCACGTAATTATGATTCCGAAATATCACAGGTTGTAAGCAGCTGACGAGAACCAGACGAAATAAACTGAATTCATGTTTTTGATTGAGATCATGAATCAATTGATGTTAGACCACCGCTGGAAACCTGGAAGCACTGGACGGCCGTTTCGTCCTGGTATGGAACTCTTCAGCACCATTGGATGCCGGCTCAGTGGTCTAGTTGGTAAAGCGCCAGGCGCGAGACCGACAGGTCCTGGGTTCGAATCTCGCAGGGAGCGGGATCGTGGGTGCGTACTGCTGAAGAGTCCCATACTAGGACGAAACGGCCGTCCAGTGCTTCCAGGTTTCCCATGGTGGTCTAACATCAACTGATTCATGATCTCAATCAAAAACTTAACAATCTCCACAGCCCCTATACTGAATTCATGTTATTCTGCTAGAATCTTTCAGTTCTCCCTCTTTTCAAAATGATAAAGGGAACTATGTGCATCAAATCAATTATTAGCCATTTAACGTATACACAATTATAAACTACTCTAAGATGCACCGACTGCTTCAATCAATTACGATATCACCTACAATAGTGATTAAATCTATACTACACAAATGCCTCAACATTTAAGTGAACTCGAAAATATGTAGACAGTTAGTTAGAAAAACAAAGTACTATGATAATGAAAGCATACCACACCATACCTCTTTCGGATGACATCCACCGAAAACGAAAATTGGCTCCACACCACAGATACTAAACTCTTTTAACAATGACTGCACATAACTCTTAAATGCCAAATACTCTCCACCAAATTCACATTGCAAAGCAGCTTCACGATAACAGGCGGTAGCAAAGTTCTCAGCATCAATAACTAAAGGCTGGTTATGCAATTCATACACGGATAAGTTTCCACCGCTGCTTTCTATATACGTCCACAACCCTCGGATACCCATCTCTTCTAAAAGATGAATAAAACAAGACGATATGAGTATGGAAATCTTTAAAAACAATAACAAAAACGTAAGGATAGAAGAAAACATTCACATCCAGATATGATGTAGATAACCTAATACCTATAATACAACTCGTCAGTAAATAACTATAACTAGGTCGACAACAATTCTATAAGGTGAGAAACTAAACCCATTCATTTGCTAAGCTTTTATTTTGCCTAAACTAATTCATCTTCCTTAATAACTCCAACTACTATTATTCTATTCATAGGCTTACTTTTATTACTTTTACTACACTAGATATGAAACAATTTGTCACTAAAGTGACTTGCAGATTACTACTTACCAAATAAACTAAATACAATCAATAATCCTGAAGCAACTACAATGAAAGCGAATCAACAGAGAGATGAACTTGACTCTAGAGACAACGAATAATGATCTTTCTGCCTATCTATCTCCCTACTACCAAACCTAACCACCTAACTACCTACCTATCTAGCGACAGTGTAAACAATTAAGCACAGTTCAAATCGAAAAATATCGAGTCATCAGAATAACAATATATTTTAAAATATATACATATGCACATGTTATCATTCATCACGTCAATCTGCATCAACAACATCCGTACAATAGCGTTGAGAGACGACGACAGAGTCTTTCAGGGATCAAGTTAAATCGGCGTCAAACACTAGGCATCCATCACTATGTGCCATCGTAACACCATTATCAATCAATGCAAAAAATGCCCATTGATTGCCAATCATTTTGCATATTACTCTTCTGACATCAAGTTCATCATTTCGTGTAGACGCTTTTGTGACCCGTTGATCTGACTCCATTTAGAGCGTACGAATGATTGTATGGATGTTTGTTATCGCCTATTCTCGTACGTAATCGACTTAAATCGCGTTATCCAATAACGGAATTAAATAAGTCGAATAACGAGAATTGACCTGAGAATACATACATTTCGTACATGAAGCGAATGTAACATAGAAAAGCAAAAATAACACGTATGGAAGATGGCTGGGAAGCCAACTCCATTTCAAGCCGGACATTACCCAATATTTATAGGCAGACAAAATAAACTACAGACATGTGATGAGTCATGGGACATGAAGTGTACACACATATACGCTCATATAAAAACAGTCAAGACTACTGATAAGCGAATAATTAACAAGGTCAAAACATGACTCAAGTAGAACAAGTAGAATGGAATGTCCGGAAACTAGAATAAGAAATATTATGGGCTAAAACTAATGACTAACACTACAACGCACATTACTGCAACCAACACCACCGACAGTGAAAACCTACTGAGAAATTTTCCAAAGTTACAATATTCATTACATTACAGCATGATAAAATTGATTAGTTAGTAATTAAAAGAATTCAAGATGGAAATTATTACATCTGTCACTGTTATGTCTATGGCTATGCTTAATTGACTTACACTTGGTACCGAAAACCGCAAACACGACGACTGGTGGGTGATAAGGATTTACTTGACCCTCAATATAAATCAAAATGTTATATGCATGCATACACAACGTTTTCCATAGTTTATGTACAGTCAGTCAAGTTGACAATCACACTTGCAGTAGTATATAATTAATATCGATTTATCATTATCATCAGTAAGAGAACCTGTAGAGATTGTAGTATTTTAACAGTTGAATTCAGGAGACAATCTAAACTAGATCATCACCATAGAAAACCACCACTGAAGCACTAGACGGTCGTCTCGTCCTAGTATGCAACTCCTCCTCCTCAGCAGCGCGCATCCTTCATCCCGAACTACGAAATGCAACCCAGCACCTTTGATCTAGCTCACATCACCTCGTCGTGAATTTAACTCTTCAAATACATAATCAATACCATACTGGTCAATTTTCACACAGACTGGATTTTTCTCATTTCACCCTATCACATAAAAAATTACTACCCTTAAAAACGATTGTAAACAAAATACCGATCACGTAAACGTTTACGTTTAGCGTGACACACGTCTTCTGAGCCGAGTAACTTGTGACGTCTTACCGATCACAGTCCTTTCTTTCACATCTTGACTTCGGTTCAGGTCAGGTTACATTTACTGAGTTTTTGATAGAGCATGGGGGTCAGTTGAGTCGTTGCTCAGAAGGCTTCATTTGGTGCACTAGGGATCTTTGAAGATGTTTATCAGTAAGTCAGCTATCGTTTCGATATTTTTCTTACAAGTGAATTGAACGAACAGGCGATAAACACTATCGACTGTCGTTTTGACTGCCTCGATGACCAGGCCAATTTTTCCTTGAAAACGTTCTGACAAATAATTCAGTGATCAGGATTTTTACAATACAATGAATTGAATGAGCTGAAACCAATTTTGATTTGTGTAAACATCACAAGATACCTCGTCTTTACTATTACAGTTTTCTTTCTCCATGTAACACAGTCAATAAAACACAACTAAAAAACTTGGAACAATAATAATAATAATAGTAATTCTACTCCACCATTCCATGTTACAATCATTTTATTTCTATGTACAGTTTAAATCCTTCAGTAGCCAACATTGTATTTGAGATCTAACATTCTGAGTATTCTCATATGTAAACGAAATCAGTTTAGTTACATAATCATGCTTCTTAGTACTGAACTTCTCCACATCGGGTATTTGTTACAATCATTGTCTAGTTAAATACGGTAAACATATGGTGGTAGTCAGTCCAGAAGTCCGTTACATGGAATCACATAAAACCAAAAGATTGGACCTTGTAGTAAACAGAATTAGTTTAAAACAATTTCATACGATGCTTAATCGACAACGATACATGACAGAAGTTAAGACACAACAAAACAATTCCATTTGAGAATGATATACTTACCAATTCAATTGTATGACATCGGTGAATACATTTCTGGCACGCTACACTATACTACTACTTTTCAATATTCAGTAGTTTCGAGTATCCACAAACATATAACTCATGACTGATTGTTTTCTGCACCGTTCAGTTCTTTTCTCGAACAGAAACATCCAATTATACTCTGCTTTCAATACTTCATTTTCTTCCCAATTTTACGTGGCACTTAATCATCTTCTCATCGCTTAGTCTATCTTGTATTAAACATTCTTTGGAAGTCCAGTGATTTCCAACCAATGGATTGGTCTGCAAATATTATTTCCCTTACTCTTGTTGATGATTCTTCATAATCCCATTTCACAAAGGCCAATGCCAGCCAAACCGTGATGTATACCCACTACTCAGTTGTTGAAGGAACCAATTCCCATGCAACTACCACTTTTGTCATTCAATTCAATTCAAAACATCTCATGATTAAAGGCTAGAATACTTCAGTGTTTATACACTCTTCTCTTCTAATAGTGCCATGTTTCCATACAAAGTCTACTTTCGACTTTCACATCTCATATAACGAGTTCATCCTCACACGGATTCCACAATGAAAGAAGTAAAACTACCTTACCCATATACACATAAACAAAATATAATCTACTTGTATTGCTGAATATAAGCGAAATCTTATCGTACAGAATTTTCATGATCAATTTCAAAACAATGGCGAATTGAGCGATATAATAAGCATTGACAAAATTATTTCTAAATCTAGGCAGAGATGAATAGTGGCTAGCAGTGAACCTCAAGGGGCGCGTTTAGTTCTCTTCAGGTTTACCTAGCTGGATGAATCTGCATCCAAGTTGACGTCCAATCTGGGACTCCAATCCGGTACCGTCCACTTCAAACTTTATCGCGTTTCCGCTCAGCAGATAAGTGGACAACGCAGTAGTGTTTGGATCGAACACCATTTTCTTCCAGTCACGGAGTGCACATAAACATCAAGCAGATCAGTCCCAAATACAACCTGACCGACGTCCTGTATTTCACTGATAGCCACCACCACTACCACTACTCATCTCTGCTTAGAACAATACTTGTGACTTGCAATATTCAGGCAATCCTCACAGAATCCAAATATGCCAGTAACAAACCGATTGATCCATTCTAGTCCTAAACTACAGATATTTTACAAACATGGTAAATATGTGACTAACTATCGGATAACTAAGTTTGCATTCTAATGCTTCACCATCATTACACTTTCAAGTTAATTCTATACACAAATTACTTGGTAATAGTTAGTAGTCAAATAAACTTACTCACGTTTACACCACAATGTCTCATAGCTCGTTCAGTAATTTTGAAAACCACTAGCAATAACTTTCCTCTCGAGACTGAAGTATAAATCAGTTTCTAAATCTCTCGGTACATCCTCTTCCAACAACCTCCCTAATTGGAAAGCAGCATTATCCCTCTCATGGATTACAAACTAGTTATCTATCACAAATAACATACCAAGCTCACACGATTTGTTTAGGGGCTGGCTTGTCATTTAATACTGAGCATCATCAATACGCAATTGACCGGATCTTTTACATTACAAATATTATATTGTTCGCTCTATTCACAATACAATAACCGAGGTTGTAAACACTATTAGTTGTCTTACATATTTCAGCTAAACAACTAACCAACTCATGTATTCTACACAATTCAGCACAAATATTTCCATAAAATTCTCTAAGGAAGGAATTCACATACCTGTTTCCGAAGTGCTAAATACAATGCAACACCTGTAACATACACCGGAATTCCTACGGACAACAAATAAACTTACTTATGTGAATTAAGAATTGTTGTTGGGTCTGACTAATTTGAAGTTGTTAACTTGAATCAGTTAATAAGCTAAATGAAATTGGGTGATAACTAACGATCAGAATAAATATGGTTAACATGGGGTGAGAGAGAGGAAATAATGAAATAAAAATTACGTAAATTAATATCCAACCCCTAATTCTATTATTATGTCTGACTTAATTCATCTTATTCTACATATTACGTAAATTGTGATTTGTAATTACAATATTCTCTCTCCATATCTCTCTCTATCTCTTACCACATGTTGATGTCAATATATAGTGCACACAGTGTCGAGTCACCTAGACTGGTGGCCACATAGCAACATGGTCGATAGTATTCGATCTGCACTAAATAAGGACACGACACACATGACAATGATCACCACCTAATGATCAATCAATTGTGACATGCTGACCATATTTATTCTGATCAGCATTTATCACACAATTTTATGTCGCTTGTAAACTGATTCAAATCACATATATGCAAACACGTGTTATTCTGAGAAACTAACTCACATGATAGATAGACCTATTCTAGTCAACCCCAATTCTGTCTGCCTACTACTCAACTGTAGCACGTGTACACCGAGAATACAGAGGTTAGTATCTGAAGGAATCTCGAAGCATATGTAGGGAAATTTCATATCCAAAAACTACAGACTACCAACTGATCCCACACAACAAAAGTTATTCAATAAATATTAATAATGTCATTCAAATGATAAAAAGACACTGATAAACATCTAAGTTACATAGAAGCAGTGCTATTCATCATAACAACTTCAATTTATCTGAACAAATGCAACTTACGGTTCACTTTGTGATAGCTTAGCTACGAGATAATTCCTTAGGCTTCCTGTATCACTCGTCTCTGGTTAACCGTTATTAGGTAACTCCAAGTACTAATGCGAACGAGTAGACGAACAACTGCCCACACCAATACAAAATCGAATGAACTAATGAGATCCAAGCTTATATATTAATCGAGTGATTCAAGCAGTTAACATTTAGTCTGGAGAGAGAGAGAGAGCTATTTGTGCGTAGGCTGTAACATGTGATCAAGCCTAGTTGCTCATCATGTTTATGATAATAATGACAAATTATACAAATTTTTACTAGTCTACACCACGGTTGTCAGTTAAATTAGTTGAAGGGCTTGACAGAATGAACCGTAAACCAACCTAGGTGTATGATAGGTATTATGTGTGCATCCTCTTTGGCTTGCTTCAGAATCGCTATTGTGTTACAAGTATTTTAAGTAGACATGTTTCACAAACTACCGTATAATTGGTCTGAGTAGTTTAGGTGGTTAATACAATGTCGATCGAAACGAACTATATTGGATTCTAATCAGAGATTCAACATGAATTCTGGAATCCATGTACTTACAGCTGAGAACTCACATATATAGTGAAATGTGCGTCCTGGATTCCACTGGTTGCCACCATCCATTTCGAACGAATCTTCTGTAAAGTGAAAGCGATATTATCGCCTCTATCCCAACACTGACAGAGTTCTTCACCGGTGTCGTTGACATGAGTCCAGAATGGCAATCTCGGTTTCATATACGCTTTTCGATTTTTTTCTGTTCATTTATCAAACGAGTATGCAGCACACACCATTTGTCATCTTTTAGAGAATTCATCGTGCCACCTTTGCTCTCAATCTATAATATACGTTCCTTACTGATTGTAACAACAATAAGCGGTTTTTCAAACTCTGACCACAAGTTGTTCGATAGCTTCACACAACCATATCATGACTACTGTTCATGATTATACTTCTGTACTTTCAGTTAATCTGTTAAATATAGATATAACTAGAATTCGACACTAACGAAAAGAAGCTGCCATGATTTCTAGGTGCGAATACCTCATGGGTTATTTTTCTATTGATTAGTCACACATGTTAGTGTCAATAAATGTGATTAAACAAGTCGGTAACATTAATAAATTGTTTAATTCAACCTCTTAGAAACAATGACTATCGTATTAGGCACTGATGGTAATGCGTTGGTATTGTTCGTAATGGTTTAGTGCTTGCGAATCCGAAATCGATATGCATTGCTCCATCTAATGAAGGCTTTCAGTCGACAGAAACAACTAGATTTCATCAGTCATATTATTGAGCCCATTCACAAATAGAAAGTTGATCCTCCCAAACTGAATGCTATTTCTTACATTAAGGTTTGTGATATGGAAAGACAACCAGAAGTAGCCTAATGAGATCAATCGATAGCAATAAGAAGTGACCTATAGGACAAGTGCATTTCATGGACTGAGAAATAGATCAATTAATTTCGTTAGGACTAGAGTGGTATATATATGAACGAGCATTTGTGCATTTTATTCGGCAGCCCAATGTACTTTCTCCATCACTGTAGTGTCCTTACTCAAGTGGTCAGTAGGATGATGGAGGATTAGCGCATAGCACATTGTGTATTAGTACCAGATTTCGGACACCACCCATAACAGCAGTTAGTTTGAACAAATTCACACAACTACACATGATAATCTTTCTAAATAATAAAATTAATTATGTTTCGTCATCATAGTTCTGAAAGATATTTCAATCATCATAGTAGTATACCTTCATTTCGGGATATCTATTTCCTATTTTATTTCATTTAAACACAAATATTGGTACGACTGGGAACCAAGTAGATAGATATACGTCCTGCAACAAGAAAATAACACAATGAAGAGTCAGAGTTATAAATGAGTAGCAATAAGTGGACGAGAGTAGTGTATAATAGGAAAAGTAGTTCATTGTAAAAATACAACGAGAAATAATCCTTTGAGTTAAAGAAGTTCCTCCCACTTTTATAATATATATGTACACAACTACAGCAGGATTGCTGTTAGTTCTTGTTATAAGACATGTCTGATTACGTCTCAAGTCACTGAGTTGTACTGTTTCTCAAACCCCAACTGAAGATTCCTGATGAACTGACATGTGCAAATCCTATGCACCTTTCTTACATACCTCGACACCGTGTCAAAAATGACCTTGTCTCCGCTTTCTCGAACAAGTTCCATCGTCAGTCCGCGGTGCACGATGTAGAATTCACTGAAGCGACTTTTGTAAAACATGTCTAGGTCTTCGTAGCCTGTGTTTCAAGGTGGGAGATACCAATTAAATTTTCATCGCTGTACCCGAACATCACCGACGCGGTTTTGCCATTCAGTAGCAACATTACTTTAGAGACAACGATAATCAGACGCAGAGAGTTGTCTTGCATCCTCATCTCGGACAGATCAAGGTTTAATAAGAATGAAACAAAATTGCTGTCAGGAACGCAATATATCTCTACTGGAATATTTCGGCTTTTCTCAACATCAGTGCTTTTTTCTAAGTCGGTTTGTTAACGCATTCCACTCGTTGTTCTACTTCCACAACCTTAATTCCATCTGTTTTTCTAAAGCAAACAGCTATATCGTACAATAAATATTTGCTTGTTTTACTTATTGAATCAACATAATTGCATATGATTCCCAGTCACATTTTATTTAATTGTACTCACTATTCAGGACACACCATCTGATAAGTCTTCTTTGGTATTTAATATGCTACTGCTTTTGTTTTCATCCATCTGCTTCCAAATGAATTGCTAGTGTGGTGAGGAAGAGCACGAATGGGGACAATTGAATGTATTTGGAAACATAATCTCTTCGTAAAATCTGCGATCTATAGAGTAAATACTTCATTTGCAAAATATCAGTCAATCGTCTCCGACTGCATTGTTCCTCCATTTCCACACAAATCATTCTCTGTTCTCGTTCTCTTTTGTTCAATCGTCTTAACCTTCTACCTACTGGTATGACACTTTAGACTGATGATACATACTACATATATCAGTCGATATCAGTAGCACACATCGCAACACTACTAAATAATGAAATGTTTAAATTGATATAATGAATGGATCAATGTTAAACCATCAATAAAAACTTGGAGGGACGTGTGATGCCAGATCAGTGGTCTAGAATTTAAGCGTTCGCCCGCGAGACAGAAGGTCCTGGGTTCGAGTCCCACGTGAGGGATCATTGATGTGCACGGTTGAGGAGTTCCACGGTAGGACGAAACAGTCGTCAACCCCTTTCATGTCTCCAATGCTGATCTAACGCTGATGCATTCATGATGTCAATCTAAACTCAACAATCTCGACAACCCTATACTGAGAAATAATGGAAAATCATAATACCAGTAGGACAATGCTAAAATAATAAAAGTTTCACAAATCACTTAATAATCTTTTAATCATAGTTAATCACATCCAAAGAAAAACGTAGTAACCAGTCATTAAAATGTAACTCAATATATATGGATTATCGTCCAAATCGATGTAAACAACCATCATCGTAGGGAAGGACCATTTCATTGACGATCAATATGTATTGTAATTATAATTACTATCAGTAAACAAGCATACGTGGAACTGGGTGTTCTAGACCAGATAAATTGGAATTCTAATCACAATCTCAGTAAGAAGATATTCAAGTTATGTAAAGCTTTAACATGTAATCGAACCATAAGATAGAATGGAATCCCAATCAAGGCTTAATGATTTCTGTAGTTAATCAATCAATAGACGAATGAATGTAGAATGAATTAATCGGTCATTAACAGTCAGTATAAATCATGAAACAGGTTACTAAGACAGAATAAAACTATTATTCCGAAAAAAAGATCTCGATCTTCCAAATCTTTACTCAGATGAACTAAATCATCTAATAATATTCAACCGTTTAAGCTAGTCACTCAAACAGTTGCGATGAGTATAGAATACAAATGTTTGTAATGAACAGTGATAAGTGACCCCATAATGGCATAAGGATTTCACTCAAGAAGTAAGATTCCGATTGTTTATTTGAAAGCCACACTTTGTATCTTTCTATGTGTGTGTGTGTGTGTGATGGTTAGTTAGAATAGCCGTGTGGGCAAATCAAACAAACAAGTTAGGCTTGTCACAGACATATTCACTGTCTTGTACAACATGAAGATGAAACTTATACCAATAACTTTCGATTACGAATATCGTTTGCTCTGCTAGAACTTAACAAAATATTTTTTAACGTTACCAATGTGAATACTATTTTGATGTGTGCTACTGATATCGACAGATATAAGTAGTAAATATCACCAATCGAAAGTGAAGTGCCTGGAGTCAGAAGGTTAAGAAGATCGAAGGAAAGAGAATGAGAACGAGAACGGAGAATGATTGGTATGAAAATGAAGGAACAACCAAGTCTGGGACAATTGATTGACATTTTTTAAATGAAGTATTTACAGTATTACTTACGTCTTTTACTCCCAATGGAGAATAGGCCGCCGACCAGCATTCTTCAACCAACTCTGTCCTGGGCTTTCTTTTCCAGTTCTATCAAACTTTGTTCATTTTTCTCATGTCTGCCTACATTTCTCGGCGTTATGTGTTCTTTGGTCCTGCTCTCCTCCTTCGGCCTTGAGGATTCCATGTAAGGGCTTATCTTGTGACACAGATGAGTGGTTTCCTCAATGTGTGACCTATCCACTTACAGCGTTTCTTCCTGATTTCTTCCTCCGCTGAGATCTGACATGTTCATTTACAGTATGATTCTTAGATTTTACAAAGAGATTCTGTAATGTTGTATTCAAATACATTCGATTGTCTCCACTTGTGTTCTTGTTCACTACACTATGAATTATGATAATCCAAATGTAAGGTTTCATTTGTCAGCTGAGTAGAATTGTTTACATTGAAAAAGAAGCAACTGATTTGTCAATGGAACTCAATTACATAAAGTAATAATGCACATGAAACACAACTCCTGGTTAGAATAACCATCAAAACTGAAGTTGAATCAAGTTCCGAAATGACAGATCTATTATCAGTTGAATTGATGATAATAATGATAATCTATAAACATGGATGTTATTTATGATTATGGTTCAATGAATTAGATCTATGCAAGGTTTTGCTCATCGGCAAACGATCATTTCTGTGTGTGGAATAATGCTTATTTACAATGGATTGATCACTGGGTGATGAGCCATTTCATGTATGTCAGATCCTTCTTAGTGCAGAGCGAATCTTCTCGACCGAGTTGTTTACTTTATGTTAATAGATTAGTGAATGAATGAATGGATAAATAGTTATATTAAGATCAAATATAGAAAGAAAACACGAAATGATTTGTTAAAAAATTTGGCTGATCAGTTAAGAAATTAGTGGTTTTTGTTTTACAATTAATCCTGGTGGGTGACCTATGCACCTCCACGAGGTGTAATTGGTGTAAGTACTAGATCTTACTAAAGTACGTTGAAATGAATTGTTATCTAGTTTTCAATCCATAAATTTGACTTCACGGGGATTTTTAAGTCTAACAATAATAGTGCTACTAATATCATTGACCTAATTGTGTCACCGAACAATTGTCAATCAATTGTCTCAAACTTCATTGTCCCCAAATTTATTTCCATACCAACTACTTTCTGTTCCCGTTCGTTCCTCTTCGAACTTCTCAATGTTCTACTGCTAGACATACCATTCCGGACTATCGTTACATACTACTTATGTCGACATAAGTAGCACATACACATCACACCACAACTTATGTTTATTCATTATTAATCCCTTTAAACAACATGAATTATCATGAAGATAATTCGTGTTTGTCCTTCTGAATTTGTTCACATTGTTAAGTGTATATATCTTTTGTTGAAAATACAGGCGGAATATAATATGAGTGATTAATGCTAGTGAAGAACTCATTTATATGAATCATCAGCTAATCTAAATGGTCGTCTTATCTACAATTTTGTCGGTGGGACCATACTTGAAATGAATGCACATATGGTACGTCTGATCAGTTTGTTAACTTCAATCTTGCCAAGCCCTTCCACTAACTCATTTAACGGACAGTCATAGTAGTAGTAGGAGGAGGAGGAGGAGGGCAGTGACAATTTGTATATCCTAGTCGTTATGATCATACCCATGATGAGCAAATAAACTAGATCACATGTGACAGCCTACGCACAAATAGCTCTCTCTCTCTCTCCAGACTAAATGTTAACTGCTTGAATCACTCGATTAATATATAAGCTGGGATCTCATTAGTTCATTCGATTTTGTATTGGTGTGGACACTGGTTCCTGTACTCGTTCGATTCCGTACTTGGAATTACCTAATAACGGTTAACCAGAACGAGTGATATAGGAAGCCTAAGGAATTATCTCGTAGCTGAGCTATCACAAGGTGAACCGTGAGTTGCATTTGTTCAGATGAATTGAAGTTGTTATGATGAATAGTACTGTTTCGGTGTAAATTAGATGTTTGTCAGTATCTTTTCTATTTATCCTTTGAATGACATTATTAATATTTCTTGAATAACTTTTGTCGTTTGAGACCACTTGTTAGTCTGTAGTTATTGGAGATGGAATTTTATTACATATTTTCCGAGATTCCTTCAGATACTAACCTCTGTATTCTCGGTGTACACGTGCTACAGTTGAGTAGTAGTAGTAGTAGTAGTAGTAGTAGTAGTAGTAGTAGTAGTAGTAGTAGTAGTAGTAGTAGTAGTAGTAGTAGTAGTAGTAGTAGTAGTAGGCAGACAGAATTGGAGTTGACTAGAATAGGTCTATCTATCATGTGAGTTAGTTTCTGAGAATAACACGTGTTTGCATATATGTGATTGTCAGGTGATGAGGACGAGAATGATGATGTTGATAGACAAGTAGACTAATTTGATTCAAATTAAGAGCAAATCATGTATATGTAATTATACTTACACGAACTATAAACCACTTAGCAATACCGTATAGCTTTAAACAACATTCTGTTCGATAAGAAGGATAGCAGCATCCGTAATTCAACCGACCGGTATAGGATTTGCATATTTTGGAGATGATCATCGTTCGTCGTAATACTTGTGGTAGTGTTTTGTTAATTTGATTGCGTACATGTATTTAGCACTTCCGAAAGATGTTGAACTTTAACTATTACAGACTAATTTGTGTATAAAATTAATTTTAAACTGTAATGATTGTGAACCATCAGAATAACCATTCGATAATGAGCATTCGTCTGATCCAAGTACAGTCAGATCTAGGGTCACTTAAACCTCACAACTATTTAATATTTATTGTACCGTGAAATGTGTTTCAAAACAATCTAATATCTGATCCTGTTTATGTTAGACGGAACAGGATAAACGGGATCGTGTGTCACGCTAAACATAAACGTTTACGTGATCGGTTTTCTGTTTGCAATCGTTTTTAAGGGTAATAATTTTTGATGTGATAGAGTGAAAAGAGAGAAATTCAGCCTGTGTGAAAATTGACCAGTATGGTATTGATTATGTATTTGAAGAGTTAAATTCACGACGAGGTTATGTGAGCTAGATCAAAGGTGCTGGGGTTGCATTTCGTAATTCGGGATGAAGGATGCGCGCTGCTGAGGAGGAGTTGCATACTAAGACGAAACGATCGTCTAGTGCTTCAGTGGTGGTTTTCTATGGTGATGATCTAGCTTAGATTGACTCCTGAATTCAACTGTTATAATACTACAATCTCTACAGGTCTTCTCACTGATGATAATGATAAATTGGTATTAATTAAATACTACTGCAAGTGTGATTGTCAACTTGACTGACTGTACATAAACTATGGAAAACGTTGTGTATGCATGCATATAACATTTTGATTTATATTGAGGGTCAAGTAAATCCTTATCACCCACCAGTCTTCGTGTTTGCGGTTTTCGGTACCAAGTGTAAGTCAATTAAGCATAGCCATAGACATAACAGTGACAGATGTAATAATTTCCATCTTGAATTCTTTTAATTACTAACTAATCAATCTTATCATACTGTAATGTAATGAGTATTGTAACTTTGGAAAATTTCTCAGTAGGTTTTCACTGTCGGTGATGTTGGTTGTAGTAATGTGCGTGTACAGGAAATGATGAACTTGATGTCAGAAGAGTAATATGCAAAATGATTGGCAATCGATGGGCATTTTTTGCATTGATTGATAATGGTGTTACGATGGCACATAGTGGTGGATGCCTAGTGTTTGACGCCGATTTAACTTGATCCCTGAAAGACTCTGTCGTCTTCTCTCAACGCTATTGTACGGATGTTGTTGATGCAGATTGACGTGATGAATGATAACATGTGCATATGTATATATTTTAAAATATATTGTTATTCTGATGACTCGATATTTTTCGATTTGAACTGTGCTTAATTGTTTACACTGTCGCTAGATAAGTAGGTAGTTAGGTGGTTAGGTTTGGTAGTAGGGAGATAGATAGGCAGAAAGATCATTATTCGTTGTCTCTAGAGTCAAGTTCATCTCTCTGTTGATTCGCTTTCATTGTAGTTGCTTCAGGATTATTGATTGTATTTAGTTTATTTGGTAAGTAGTAATCTGCAAGTTACTTTAGTGACAAATTGTTTCATATCTAGTGTAGTAAAAGTAATAAAAGTAAGCCTATGAATAGAATAATAGTAGTTGGAGTTATTAAGGAAGATGAATTAGTTTAGGCAAAATAAAAGCTTAGCAAATGAATGGGTTTAGTTTATCACCTTATAGAATTGTTGTCGACCTAGTTATAGTTATTTACTGACGAGTTGTATTATAGGTATTAGGTTATCTACATCATATCTGGATGTGAATGTTTTCTTCTGTCCTTACGTTTTTGTTATTGTTTTTAAAGATTTCCATACTCATATCGTCTTGTTTTATTCATCTTTTAGAAGAGATGGGTATCCGAGGGTTGTGGACGTATATAGAAAGCAGCGGTGGAAACTTATCCGTGTATGAATTGCATAACCAGCTTTTAGTTATTGATGCTGAGAACTTTGCTACCGCCTGTTATCGTGAAGCTGCTTTGCAATGTGAATTTGGTGGAGAGTATTTGGCATTTAAGAGTTATGTGCAGTCATTGTTAAAAGAGTTTAGTATCTGTGGTGTGGAGCCAATTTTCGTTTTCGGTGGATGTCATCCGAAAGAGGTATGGTGTGGTATGCTTACATTATCATAGTACTTTGTTTTTCTAACTAACTGTCTACATATTTTCGAGTTCACTTAAATGTTGAGGCATTTGTGTAGTATAGATTTAATCACTATTGTAGGTGATATCGTAATTGATTGAAGCAGTCGGTGCATCTTAGAGTAGTTTATAATTGTGTATACGTTAAATGCCTAATAATTGATTTGATGCACATAGTTCCCTTTATCATTTTGAAAAGAGGGAGAACTGAAAGATTCTAGCAGAATAACATGAATTCAGTATAGGGGCTGTGGAGATTGTTAAGTTTTTGATTGAGATCATGAATCAGTTGATGTTAGACCACCATGGGAAACCTGGAAGCATTGGACGGCCGTTTCGTCCTAGTATGGGACTCTTCAGCAGTACGCACCCACGATCCCGCTCCCTGCGAGATTCGAACCCAGGACCTGTCGGTCTCGCGCCTGGCGCTTTACCAACTAGACCACTGAGCCGGCATCCAATGGTGCTGAAGAGTTCCATACCAGGACGAAACGGCCGTCCAGTGCTTCCAGGTTTCCCATGGTGGTCTAACATCAATTGATTCATGATCTCAATCAAAAACATGAATTCAGTTTATTTCGTCTGGTTCTCGTCAGCTGCTTACAACCTGTGATATTTCGGAATCATAATTACGTGATAGGTTTAAACGACTTACATGAGAAAGTTAGGTTGGATGGAAGTTATATTGAAGACAGATTAGTATAGTATAGTATAGCAAGGGTGTAAATAAATTGAATAGACTGAATACAAGTGATTACATAATGAGTAAATGCTGATGATTGGAATAAAGTGAGTAGAGCTGAGTTGATATAAGAATAAGATTATGAATTTGGAAGATAGTTGAAATACAAGTGAATGATGCAATAAATGCAAGAAAGAGTTAAACAATGATGATGATAATAATTATTATTATCGGATGCAGCGAAGGTATATTTGTGACCAAGGCAAGGCATGGAAAGATTAATAACCATCTGGTTTTGAATTTGAATACATAAGTCAGGTTTTTGGCGCCTGATGATAACACTGGCTTGAGTTGAGCAAACTTGAGAAGACTGTAATTTGGCTGTTTACTTACTAATCACCTTGAAGATTGCGAGGTATCGACCTGATATCCTGTATCAAGAAGATGTTTGCACTATTTAGAGTGTTTCTTTCTCTTGTTGTGAGGATTTTCGGAACGTGTTCGGAAAATCTGAAATATGCCCTCTTTTCTGTTTGGCCAATGTAGAGGTGTTTTGGCAGGTAGATGTAAATCTATATACAGTTGGTCAATACTACAGTTGCCTAATGAATTAAACCATGAGAAAGTGTGTTTGAAGCGCTATGGTCTGCACATAGAATGTCCCCACTTTGCTAATGTTAATGTTGCAAAATGCCAACGATCATTTTGTTTGTGTATTCAGGCTTTTTCTTCAACAAGACATTAAACACTGTTTTACATTGAGACTCGAGTTATGACATCTACAAATGAAGATGTTGATGCAGTCAGTTAGTCAGTCACTTGCATACCTGGAAGTCTATTTCATTCATATGACAATAATTTGTTTATTAAGCATTTAATTTAAGAAATTTCCCAGTTGAATTCAGAAGTCAATCTAAGCTAGACCATCACCATTGAAAACCACGACTGAAGCACTAGACGGTCGTTTGGTCCTATTATGTGACTGAGTCCTGAGCAGTTAGTGTACACAATCAGCCAAATATTTAGTGTTATTCGAGTTTTTATACGTAGTGATAAACTTTTTAGCACCACTCGAGATATGATTTCATTACTGTCTGTCAGTTTATTGGTATATTTCTCAGAGTGATGGTCAATTATTCACGATCGAATGTGATGAATAAAGACACATAACACCAAACATCTTGAGTTATATGTTTTTGAAGTTAGTCACATACAGTTACTCAGTTTGTGAATTAACTAATGATGTTTTTCGCTTTGTTTAGGGAACAAAATTGGATACTTTGATGAAGCGGAACAAGGAGTACTTTAAACAACTCTCATCAGCTCTTCTGATTGCTAAGTCAACTGGCAGCACAGAGTTGAACATTGATATAGCTCCACGACTTAACAGAAATGTTCTGGTTGAAATTCTGCGTGAATCTTCAATTCGATACATAGCATGTGAACGTGAAGCTGATATCAGTACAGCAGAACTTGCTGTTCATCTTCAATGTCCTGTTACCAGTAATGATTCTGATTTTTTTATTTATCGACCAAACGATAATAATCAAGTGTATCATTTTATTCCATTTTCAACTATTTCACGTTATTCTAAGAAAAGATCCGTCCTTTGTTCTATTTGTAAACGGAGTGGTGCTCCATGTTATGTCATGTCGTGTTCAATTCTTAATAATTCAGGACCGTTTTCTAAACTCAAGTATCCTATGTTACCACTTTTTGCCATTCTCGTTGGTAATGACATGATATCAAATATTCGCCTTCCAACTATCATCGATTCACTAATCCGTACTTCTAAACTACAGAGCAGCAGGTCCCACAGTCACAGACGTATCGATGCTATATTTAACTGGCTGTTAAGATTCCGTGACATAGAAGAACCATTGTCATTGGTATTGTCACTTTACGAGGAAAACGAAAGGGATGGTATTGGAAATACAATCCGTTTAGGGATTTCGGATTATGTTCTAAGTAGTTCAGGAGAAAACCTGGCTCGTGAATTAGGCTTTTCAACTGAACACAATATCTCATCAAGTGTTTCGTTGTCAAGCAAGATGGGAAATTTGAACATTCAGGATCCCACAACTTATCGGGGTTCTTACTGTGAAGATGTTTGCAAATTTTCTAAACCTGTATTGGAGAGAAATGATGATGAAGACAGTATATTTCACCGTTGGCCGAAAGAATTGATTAGGCGATTTAGATTTCTGGATTTAATTCCATCCCTACTTGACCACATGTATGTTCGAAATGGTGCTTTTTCTCGTTTACTAATGGAGGACATAAAGATTCCTAATTCGCTTGATGAGTGTATGTCGAAGATGAGAAGTGCTATAAATGGACTTATATATGGACTTGAAAACCACTTGGGCACCAGTGGAAAGTTATGTGGAATGGAGAATGAGTGTGTCAGTGAGTATAGGAGAAACCTGAATGGTGATTTTAGGAAGACTTTAATGTCGATGAAGCCTCTGAAACCCCCTAGTGCTGAAACGCCTGAATTGTCGTTCTTAACTTTTTTCTCTAAATTTTTCAATGTGAATTTGGAGAAAGATTTTAAGCCTCTTGAAATACAAGGTTTAGCTATTTTATTAGTTCTATGGTTCAGATGTTCATCTCATGCCCAAAACGAAGCTAAAAACATTAAGACATCGCCAGTTGCACTTGCGTTGTCATGTTGTACAATCGCAATGAATTCAAATCGTGAATTTCTCGGTAGAAATCGTGATGTTGATGGAGATTTCGCTAACTCTATTCGCACACATCTCGATAAGTGTGCTGATGTGGTCGAATCAAATTGTTGTCAAGAAGTAAATAAACGTTCCTTTTGTATTGAGCAAGTTCACCAACTTAATGAATTGCAAAGTATGGCCACTGGTTTAAAGCATTTAGTTGCAATGATTGAGGTGCTTTGTCCGTTTTATATGTCAAATAGTAATAAATTTGATAGTTGTTCACATTTTAGGAATCCTTTCATAAGCTTTTATCCATTTTGGATGTTATTTGCCAGTGGACGTCTTTTATATTGGATTAGTCGACTTCTACAAAATATTGATCCATCTGAACGTTTCCATAAAGTTATGAATGAGTGGCTTCCAAAATTGCTTATAAGGACCAATACTGGACGTGAACAAGGAGATTGCGCCTCAAAAGATCTTACCAAACTTTTCAACCTAATTGATAAGTTGAACTCTTGAGATCTACTTACTCATTGGTTCGGTTTCTATTATTATCATCAACGCTAGTATTCGTTTTATTATTTCTGATAAACTGTCATTTTTAATTTATATAAACATACACACGCAACACTTGGATGGTTTGTTGTCGAAACTTTTAACTCTCATGCCATACTTGCACATCGATTTTCCTAATAACTAGAACCATTCAAATATTTTTAATATACATTTCATGAATTCATGCTACGCCTTTATTTTTGTAAAAGTAGTAAAGATGTCAAGAACGAAAAAAGTCAGTTCCCAGAAAGCCCTACTTCATATTCTATGAAAACTACTTCCCCAACTACTTGGATATAATAAATTGTTGACTATGGTGTAACTGGGCATGTTAACGCCAGCCACATTGTTAACAGTCGATACGTCTATGTATTTTGTGTTTATTACACTAGATGATTGTTTCGAAGTATTTACTGACGTTGTCTAGGTGGATGGGATGATGAATGTCTCACGACCAGACCATCGAATTCAGAGAGCACTACACCTACGAAATGTTGATCCTGGGCAGGGCTAAAAGTACTCCCTATTACATTTGTTTATGTTTGCTTCTAACTAGACTAAATGGACAGTGCAGAGTTATATGGATTTGGCTTGCTTAGGTAATTTATCTTGTATTGTATTTTGTTCAAGTTATGATAGATGAGATTATAGGTTGCGAGTTGTCTCGAGATGAAATCTGGCTCGAACACTTCGATGTTACGAATACTCGTTTGCCTTCATATGGAGTATTCCACCACAGTTGTTTGTCCTACATGCATAATTATGCAGGCGCTAGTTGAAAGGAAACCTCAGAAACAAATAAGAAAGAGGATAGTGCTTTCCAACAACTTATGTCTTATACGAAGGGTGGGGCGTTATAAGTATTTTGGTGTCGTGTGCAACTCCAACTTTCTCACTGCGTTGTTTTAGTCATTCTGACCGTTAAATGGGACATTGTTAGTGTGAGAAGTTGAAGAACGGAAGAGTTATTTGGTGTACGTCCACTAGTTGGAGTCATTACTTGGATGCTGTCATTTGAAACTAAGCATATCTATGTTAGACTGAGAGATTCGGTTCCCTAACCGTTCACATTATAACGAAACGACTCAGTTGTGTATGGAATATGCCATTAAAGTAGGATCTGGAATAAAATATTGTAGGATTATTTACAAAACTTGTTATATCCTAGTGAAGATTACAACATTACGAGTAACTCCTGAGATCTAACAATGGACTAATATTAGATATATATTCCTATTGTATAAGTTTCCAGTAACTAGACTGCATATCTATATTCCTCCTATTATAGACTTCATTTTGTTCTATAGATTATTATTATTGTACCATTTACTATTGTTAAATTATACTCAGTTTATTAGGTTACTACAGTCTCCCACGTTCACTTCACAGCCACTTCTTGGCTTTATTGTGTATAAATGGTATTTTGTATTTTATGGTGCATTGCGGTCTGTTTGGTTGGTATATAAACCCAGTATATGTGAAATAAATGATTCGCATAGTGGAGGCTGTTGTTGGCATTCTGGATTCAATTGAGCTGGACGGGCTAGGCGGCGAGCAACGAACCAGTGGGACACTAGTCTGATCAGACCGGTTGGACGTCATTGGTTTAGTATAGTAGTGCAAGGGCGAGTAAGTCGTATTTTGATTGGCGAATAAATTAAGTGATAACTAGCGGGTCATAAAGTCATAACAAATTGGTGACGGGGATTTTGACGAACAATAAAAATTGCAGACAGTGCTCGCACTTTCGAAGCATGGTTTGACTGACAGAATAGAAGATATTTTCCGAGTGAGATTTGCTGCTATGGATGACGCAAAGACTGGACCGAAGGATTTAATGGGTCTGGTAGATGCTAGGTTTCCTAAGTCGCGTAAGGAGCAGTCACCATTCGAAATACCTTTTGCATTGCAGTAGACTCGATCTTAATTATGTTTGTTCGAAAACCAACCTGCTGTACAGCCTAACGATTTAGGCGAAGTCGAGGACTAAATTGTTGCTACGAGTTACCAACACTCCCATCAACCAACACATTGGGACTAAGCTAAATGAGTGAAAGTGTCAAAGTAATCCACACCAGTTGTAGAGTATGGGAAGATGGAGCGGTGTGTTTTGTGCCAGGTCATAGATCACTGTTCATGACTGACTAAGGTGGATGTACGGTTTCGTCCTATTGTGGGACTTGTGAGCATTGCACATCCACGATTCGTATCCAGGACCTTCGGTCTCGCACGAACGCTGAACTCCTAGACCACTAAGCCGGCATCCAACGGTGTTAGTATCTAACTTCAAACAGTCCACGAAATCGCGCAACCATGTTCAACTGTCTGAGCTAGATACCTGCCTCTACCTGACATGGACTAGTTCCACATTATAATTATGCGTATAACATGGCGTATGAAGTCATTTATTTCACTAGTGAGAAATAGTGTTGAATACATACTACATTGACACAAGTTTAATGTGTAAGTGAATAGATTAGACGAGAGTGAGAGACGGAGGGAGGGGGAATATGATGTAATCGATTACCGGAGAGAAAACAATTGTAATCATAGCAATGTGATGATTATAACGTCGTTACTGGTAACACTAGTTAAAGACGATATGAGAAGACTGAATAAATGCGAGTTCAAACATCCCACCGAATGATGTGAAAACGATAAGACAAGTTATAACGACTGTGAATTCGGTATGAATATCTGACTAGAATTAATAAAGTGTTATTGGGTTTAAATGCAGGTGGTGAAGTGAGCCAAATAAAGCAAATTTTAGAATTAAGGGAATAAACAGTGGAAGGAATACTGTCAATGTAATGATCACTATTGCAGTACCGGATTATAGCACCTCTCCTACAATTAGGCTTATTTACGTTACTGTTAAATACGTTAATCTCTCCAACTAACTTACTGAAGGGATAGTGTTAGTAGTGGAATAGTAACAATTTGTTTGTTTATCTTATCATCTTATTATACCACCTATGAAGAGCATGTACCATGGTTGATCATCACATGTGACAGTCTACGCACAAACACCTCTCTCCAGTCTAAATGTTATTTGCTTGAAACACTCGGTTTACATACACATATATATGTCTAAATGTTATTAGTTGGTTCAACCGGTTATTCGATGTTGTATTCAATTGATCACTTGTTTGATCGCATTGGTATCTCTCCACGTATAGGCTTTGTGTGTTAGTTTTGTGGCTCAGTGATTTACTTAGTAGAATAAATAAAGCGTTGTCAACGTTTCGTATTGTCTTGTGAATCTCATAGACTGTTTGGAGTTACCTAATAACAGTTGGTCAGAACGAGTTATAGACGAAGCCTTAGAAATTGTCTCGGAAATAACTCACTACAAAAATATGCCAAAACAGACTGATCAGTCGTAGTCCTAAACATCAATAGGAAGATGCAAATGATATGCAAATGTATATTGACTCAGTTTCAGTTTTGCATTCCACTCTACCTTGTTTGTTCGATTTGCCCACATAGCTATTCTAACTAACCATCACACACAGAGAGAGAGATACAAAGTGTGGCTTTCAAATAAACAATCGGAATCTTACTTCTTGAGTGAAATCATTATTCCATTAGGGGACCACTTATCACTGTTCATCACAAACATTTGTATTCTTTACTCATCGCAACTGTTTGATTAGCTAGCTTAAATGATTGAATATTATTAGATGATTTAGTTCATATCAGTGAAGATCACACATGCTTCCTTCCAAGTTTTTGATGGTGGTTTAACATTGGAAAAAAAAGTAAGAAGTGTAAAAAAGAACAATAACGAACAGCATAAGTTAAGGTAGCGTTATAATAATAATAATGGGGGAAACGGAAAGGTACAACCAAGAAGAATTCTTTCAGTTAAGGAAGATACAACCACTATTTATGAAGTAAAAGAAGGTTACAGCACGATCACTACTGGCTTCTATTCTCAGCTATATCTGATAACGTCTATAGCCACTGTGTTGCACCATCTCTCGGACCCCAACCAGGGAGCCGTGAAGGACCGACAGAAGCCAGTCCTTTGCAGCTTTCTTTGATACCACGACACCATGTCATACACTGACCACCTCTCCGCTTCTTCCAACCAGTCCCAGAGTCGGCAAATAATGCACGACATGGAATCCTCTGGGACGCCATTCGTAGAACATGTCCAAGTCACCGAAGTCGGTGTTTCAAGATGGTGACACCAATTGAATTATCGTCTCTGCACCCGAACACACGATGCCGAACCTCTGCATTACTAACATGGTGTTACCACTGGATGTCAGCAATCCTTCGGAGACAACGATGATCGAACACAGAAAGTCGTCTAACGTCCTCAACTCGGAGAGGCCAGGTTTCACAAGCATGGAGCGAAACTGCTCTCACCGACGCGTTGTAGATCCAACCTTTTATAGCTAGAATGACATCACGAAGGCGCCAAAGATGGATCAGATCGGCATAAGCCGCTTTAGCTTTCACTATACCTGCATTGATCTCATCACTCACGCCACCACCAGCACTTATGCAGCTACCCAGATGCACGAACTTCTCGACTACTTCTATCTGTTCACCATCCAGAGTGAGTACAGGATTAGAATCCTGCCAGTCTTGTAGAAGTACTCTGCACTTCGAAGGTGGAAAGCACATACCATACCTACGGACACTGATTACCAACTGATTAAGTGCGGATTACAAGGCTTGGGCATTATCGTACAGTACGACAATATCATACACATACTCAAGGTCGAGACGTCTTTCTCCAGGCAACAGATCCACACCGCCATTACTTGTATCCATTAGAGCTGTTTCCAGAATGTCATCGATGGCAAAGTTGAGGAGGAATGGTGAGATTGGGCAACCCTGCCTAACCCCACTGCTCGAATGGAACAATGGAGAGAGGTGGTTGTATGCCTGTAGTGTTAGTCATTATTTTAAGCCCATATACCTTATTCTAGCTTTCGGACATTCCATTCTATTCCTTATGCTTGAGTCATATTTTGACCTTGTTATTTATTCGCTTATCAATCTTTACTGTTTTTATATGAGCGCGTAGGTGTGTGTATGCTTCTTATCCCATGACTCATCACATGTCTGTAGTTTATTTTTGTCTGACTATAAATATTGAGTAACGCTTGACTAAAATGGAGTTGGCTTCCCAGCCATCTTCCCTGCGTGTCATTTTGCTCTGCTGTTTCATTCGCTTCATATACAAAATATATGCATTCACAAATCAATTCTCGTTATTCGACTTATTTAATTCCGTTATTGAATAACGTGATTTAAGTCAACGATTATATACGAGAATAGGCGATAACAAACATTCGTACGATCTAAATAGGAGTCAGATCCACGGGCCATTAAATGCCCTCACTCTGTCTGAGGTGTTTGTATATAGGGCTTTTAAGGTGTTAATAAACTTCTCAGGCATACCCTTCTTCAATAGACAGTCCCTCAGAACAGTCATGTCCAACGAATCGAAGGCAGCCCTGATGTCAAGAAACACTATGATTGTTGGCCTTTGATAAGTATGGCGGTGTTCTAACATTTGGCGGAGGGTGAAGATATGATCAATACATCCTCGACCAGAACGAAAACCAGCCTGCTCCTCGCGAGTCAACCTTTCTCGGGTTTTGAACAGCCTACGAAGTATGACGGAAGCCAATAACCTGGACGCAATCTGAAGTAGACATATCCCCCTATAGTTGTTACAGGAACGACGTGAACCCTTTTAAAGATAGGGACAACTATCGAATCATTCCATGACGTTGGTACACTCTCTAGCTCCCAGACCTTTGTAAACAACACAGTCAGTTCCTTAGTCAGAAAGTCACCACCATCTTTAAAAAGAGCCGGAGGTAAGTCATCTGGGCCAGGTGATTTGTAACGCTTCAAGAGTTGGAGTTCCTTGCGGACTCCCGCCTCATTTGGTGGATCAGTCGTCACCGGCCATGGAGGGCAGGACAGTCTGACCGATGTTGCCGGAGCAGCAGGCCAGGTGAACTGCCCTTCGAAAAATTCTGCCCATCGTCCAAAACATCGATGGATGTTAGTGATTGGCATCCCGCTATCCTCGCAGATTGTTTCGCTCACACCAGACTTCTTGCTGCCAGTGGCTCGGATGAGTTGGAAGAGCTTCCGGTAGTTACCAGATGCAGCTGCTGCTTCCAGCTCATTAGCACGCCCCGACAACCAGGCTTTTCGGTCCTTACGCAGGCTTTGCCCGATTTCGTTACGTAGCATCCTTCGTTTGTGGTCGAACTCACGGTCACCCAGAGTAGACCGACGGGCTTCAATGAGTTGTAAGGAGCCTGAAGAAACCCAGTGATTGTAAGCGGGACGTTTCGCAAACCCACAACTGACTGTACCCGCCATCTTGATGGCGTCATGCAATTGCGACCAATGCTCGTCTATACCTTTCGGTGGAATGGTAGCTAGCCTAAAAACTAGCTCCTTTCGATACTTACTAGCAACAGAAGTTGCAACCAGCTTGCTAACATCAATCCTTTGGTGGTGGTCACTGAAAAGTAAGGTAAGATTGGCGCACACCATGGCATGATCAGAGTCCAGATAGGTACTCCAAAAGGAGCGGCAGTCTTGTACACAATCACGCCAGCGGTACCTGATCGCGATGTGATCAATCTGAGTCCAGGCTTGAGATGCAGAGGGAGGACGCCAGGTGGCACATCGGCGATGACTGTGCCGAAAGTTAGTGCCAGTCAGAAACAGGTTATGGTCTGTGCACAGTTGCAGTAGACGGTCCCCGTTATCTGTCCTGCGACCAACAAGTCCCCATCGGCCACCTAAACGACTCTCTTCTGTGCCTAGACGCCCGATCTGAGCATTCAAGTCTCCAGTTAGTACTGCAATATTTGTCGAACGCACTTTCTGGAGAACAGTTAACTGGTGATAGAATTCATCCTTGATTGCATCCGGGCTGCAATCTGTCGGGGCATAGGCGGAGATGACGAAAAGACATCGTTTCTCACACCGATTTCTTCTCACTTTGATGGAATTTTCTAATCTAACAGCACGTAACCGACTGTTAGTGGGGATCCGATCGATTAATGCTGCCTTAGCTCTAGCGCTTAGTGCGACACCGACGCCAGCAAGACAAGACGAAGATGCCACAGGGTCCCCGGATAAGCGCACGTAAAACAAGCTTTTCGAAGCGACAGATGGAGGGCGAATTTGTAGTACTTCACCAGAGTCTTGAATACGGGTATCAGATAGACAGCAAACATCGATATTAAGACTTTATAAAGACATAGCCAGCCCTATCTGTTGTCTGACCTGCATAAGTGTGCGAACGTTGAAGGCAGCCAATTTGAATGATGCACGTGGTTTCAAAAAAACTGCTTCAGTACTCGTACTTGGTGGTAGCATACAATTTTCAACCAGGCAGTGACTCGAGAACGTTTAGATAGAGCCAATTTCCACCACAGGCGAGCTGCTGTATAAGTCGAAAAATAAGGATACATAGAGTGGGAATAAGAGAGAGTGAATAAATGACGTAGTAAATAATAATAATAATAATAATAATAATAATAATAATAATAATAATAATAATAATAATAATAATAATAATAATAATAATAATAATAATAATAATAATGTGAATCATTTGATTGTTATTCGGAGCAAGAATATTTTCCATAAGTACAGTTCATCACTTTTGTGTGCGGGCTGTGATACTGCCCGGGTGCCCAGACCAAAGTAGGTGGTCTTCTTAGGGGGCCACACCTCGAGCCTTTGACCTAAAGGTCTGACCCACAAGGCAGTGGAGCATCGTGAGGAGATGCAGTCCCATGGTAGCTGGTGACCAACGATTGGTTCATACGCCATTTGTTCCCTCAGGATATTGGAGCCCATGTGCACCATTGGTTTGGGATCCGGTTAAAGCGTCGGACATTCGCTTTCCATCCTCTCATTCTCGTGAACAACACCCCCGCCACGAGAAGTCAGTGAGTAGGACTTTCCTGGCAGAGGCTGTATACGCGTGGCCGTGTGAGAGTATTTCGAGAGGGAGAGCGGGCCCACCCCACTCTCGGCCATACCAGGGCATTTGGGGGCACGACATAAGGACCACACATTATTTCATGGGGGGAAGAAAGTGTTGAAAGTCTATTTCAAATTCTAGGTACCAGTGGCTTCAGTACATAACCGACATGGTGGTTGTATACAATCCCGTGAGTCCGTCCCAATTTCAGTTGTTAACTCTGATACTAATAAGTATATTCTAGATCATACAGAGACTATATCCAATACATGGTCGGACAGACATGATGAACTTAAGGAGAAGAGGTACAATTGATTGCAGAATTTGGATTCCCATTTAAGCTGTAAAGGATGTGGTGTTTGTATGGACTAATGATTCTTTTGTGCTTGGTGACTGCCTGATTTCGAATTCCAAATACAATACGTTCGTTCGTACTCATCTGATACTTCTTGGTTAAATTGCGTTATTCCTAGGATTCCTAGTTTGTACTATAATTCAAATACTTTTATTCATCACAGACTCCTAGTTCGTATAATAATCTAAATACTTCTAATTATCACATTTGTCCTCTATTTGATATCACACTTTCATGATCATATAACAAATGAGGTACATCACATGATACACACTGCAGTACCAATTATCTCTTTTAATCGTGTTCAAGTGTAACTGACTTCACGATGTGTGATCTTATACGCAAAAAACATATTCTGTTAGTTCGTCAGGTTATGATTCATCTTAGTAAACAGTTTTATCGAGTCTACTAGCTATATATGTTAAATAAGTTGAGTTGTAAATACTATATATGGAAGTGACTACAATAAAGACATCAGGTTCCATAAAAAGTAAACTTTATCATTTTAAAATCATGACAATTATGTTGCTAAACATGACCATACTCTATTGAAAAATGAGAGGATATTCCAAATGAAAGACCCAATTTATTTACAGACGTTACTGGGGAGAAAATCAAAACAATGAAGCGAATACAAATATTTATTGCAAAACACTTTGTTAGTGATACAAAACAAATCGCATATTCAATATGGGAACATAAATCAACGTCTTTTTTCTCGTGAAGTAACAGAACCAGCGGTTGTAGTAGCCGGTGAGTTAGTTGAAGAGACTAGAGTTGTGTTTGAGTCAACTGAACGCAAAGATTTCCTTGTTCTTTTTTGACTAAAGGAATCTAAAAAGACAAATTTAACAAAAACATTTATTACGGCTTAATACAGTGTAAACTATAGTTCTTAACATAAATAGGTGCAGTAGCTAGTCCTTATTATGCTTCTAATTTGAAACAAAGATGGGAATAATTCATTCTGTATTGTTTGAATCTTACCATTGGTGTTCAAGACTGAAATTGACCAGTCTCTTATTGGGATATGCCCATCCTGTGCGGATTGCCTGGATATTACCTTAAGTCACAAGCATTATAAGCAAAGATAGATGGTGGGTAACAGTGGAGTGAACATCAACTCTGGGATACAGATATATCCAGCTGGTCAGTCCAAGATAGGACGAAACGCGCGTCCTGGATTACACTGCCAGCCACCATTCGTCTTTGCTTATAAAGATGGGAATATATTTATTTTATCAACGGATAGTTATTTTTAGGCTATAACTACGTGTCAGATAATGCATACCATCTTAAGAGAAAGCTCTGTAACTAATGGGTATAATAGTTTAGAGGTTCAATCATCTTTAGAGGAGATACTTCTCCAGTGTTTTCGCATCTGTGGGTAACAATGCAATATCAGTTTTGAATTATATATCTTACGGTATGTGTAAGAAAATAACAGGAACAGTATTTGTACAGTGAGGGTGAACTCTAGTATTAACTCACCAGTACGTGGAGATCGAGAAACAGATATGCCACTCTGTGGTGTCACACGAGGATACTTCAAAGATTTCAGGGAGTCATACTCTTCTGGGAGGTTGAATTCCTTCATCTTTGATTGAAACGGATTAACTTCAGAATCATGCTAGATGAAAATGCTGTATTAAGAGGAAGATTAAATTACCAACTCTTCCATGTTATACAACGAACCTAGCTTTTTCCAAATAGTATCTGTACTAATAGGATCACTCACAAACGAGTTTACAAGGTTGCATACATATATCATCTGAAAATGACGATCTGCACCAACGGGTTTGTGATTCAATATAGCATGAAAAAGTTGAATCTCTGATTCCAAAGTCCATACGTCCAGGCCAGTCTGATCAACCATAGGTGAGTATTGTTTGATCCCAAAACACCTAAAAGCATGAAGCAAGATAAATTCTAACGAAACTATGGATTAATATATCAGAATACCAATTATATACATTTTGGCAAAGTTTGGGATTCTGATTGATATGAAACATCAGGGAAGATGACATGAATTTTTTAACAGTAGTTGAGTATGAAGTTAAAAATTTTCAATATCGACGCTCAAAATTACGAAACACATCACCTTATAAATTGTGACAAAGGAGTATAGCACAGATTTTATTAAACGAAAGTGGTTATAATTAATGATGTTAATATCATTTTTATTATTAAGTATGGTTACTTCTAACTACAATCAACCAATATAAAGAATTTTAACAGCAATACACCGCCACTTACTAAGCTAACAAAGTAATCCATAGCTTGTATGATAAAATGATTTTGTTCCTTAGTCAGGAAAGGTTAATCTGTTTAATCTGACTGAGATTCTTTTTAACAAGCTTTTTCTCTACGGGATAGGGGTTTCACCAACAATACAGTTGGTGAGTTTCAAAAAAGACCTGAAACGTATGTTACGGAAATCAGAACTTCTTTTCCATGAAGATCAATGTAATTTTCTGTACGCACTAGGATAGGTGATAATATTTGTCATAACATTTGTCTGCTGCCAGCAAACTTGCAAATTAGCATGCTTATGTATAAATTTGCTTGTTAACAAGGCATAACTAGCAATTCCAATTGAAACTACTAGTTATGCCATCAAGAGTGATCTGATTTAAGCTAGCTAAAATTAACACTAAGATTCAGTAGGTTAGATCCTAAGAGTTAACTCTTAGGATTTTTCAAAAGAATTCTTGGGAAAATGTAATTCATGAACGATCTTTGAGCGTTGCCAGAGTGGACTAGGGAAAGCTTACTTACTTTACGGTCATAAACGCAAATCATATCAGATGACAAATGATAAGCTTTCCGAAAACAAATGTTTATAATACCCAGTGATAGTGTTTCCGAATCATTAAGGTTAACCAAAACTTTTTGGTGTTAAAATGTCTTCACAAAAAGCTCTGGATTTTAAAGAATGCAAAACATATATGTGACATGCTTAAATGACATTTAGAACAATATTATCCTAATCTACACTCGATCCTACTTCGTAACTAAAAAGTGACATGCGGATCTAGTGTAAACGTTTACACTAGATCCACATAGGAATTGGTGATTCTCGAAGACACCAAACCCACCTTAAATTCACTCAGGGGCAAACAACTATAAACCCAGCTATTTGTCACTGTACAACCAAGTTGTCAAAGAAAATATTTCGTCACTTAACATTCATTCAGCAGTTGGACTACAACTTATGAACGACCTTTGGGAGATGCCATCGTGACCTTCAAATGGTTCAAATGGTTGTGGACAGAATAGAAGAAGCTTTCGCTTAACAGGCTTCCGTGTCTAGTAGCAAGGGATCACCAAATCCTCCAGGCAGGAACCTAGGTATGTTAACAATAAAACAGGAAAAGAAACTAGTAAATCATAGTGTGATACTATCCTTAGTCCTTAAGAATAGATCAAGTTGCCTCTTAAATGACTCCTGGGAAGTCGCTTGGACTAGCTCGCTCGGCAGCGAATTCCAGCATTCGACAACTCTTAAGGAATAGAAGTTGTGTCTACAGTCCGTTCTGCTATGTTGTGTCTCTAGTTTTTGGGTGTTACCTCTTAGGTTAGTGTTGGAACTAAGCTTAAATGGGTGTTTGAGAGGATGTCCAGAAGTGTTAAGGATACTATAAGCCATCAGAAGGTCACCTCTAAGACGTATATGCTCTAATGGGTAAAGGTTAAGTGAATGGAGGCGCTCTTCGTAAGGTTTAAATTTGAGTCCTCGAACTGACTTCGTGGCTCGTCGTTGGATACGCTCCAGGGTGTCCTTGTCCTTTTGGAATGAGGGGGGAAATACTATGTTTCCGTACTCTAAATGGGGATGGATAAAACTATTGAAGATTATATGGAAAGTTCTTCCGTCAAACTGGCCAAAAATACTCTTCAATGTTACCAGTGCAAGGCTTGCTCGGAAGGCATTTTTGTCACAGTTAGCGTGAGACTTTAAATCGTAGGGCACCAGAACTCCTAAATCTTTTTCAACTTGGGATACTTCCACAGAGAGGTTTCTTGAGTTGTAACTGTAGTCTGCGACATGTCACAGATGGACTACTTTACACTTTGAAGCGTTAAAGGTAAGTTCGTTATTGTCTGCCCAACTTTGAAGTGCAGTCAGATCCTCGTGAACTGCCAGTGTATCCTCTTGGTTGCGTATCTCTCTCCAAAGTTTCACGTCATCAGCAAAAGGTAATAAGTCTGACGATACCTGTTGTGGAAGATCATTTATTTAAACCAAGAAGAGAAGAGGCCCTAGTACTGAGCCCTGGGGGACCCATTAAGACATCCCATAGCCTGAGAGAAAGTTAAGTTATCCCTGACCTTAAAATGTCGATTTTTTAGATATGGAGTGAGCCAGTTAATTAGAGGTGGTTTGATACCCAATCGTTTGAACTTACTGATAAGACATATATGATTGACCATATCAAAAGCTTTTGAGAAATCAAGGTAAATGATGTCAACCTTCCCCTTGTGATCAAGGATGCTTGTCCATCTGTCCACCGTGTTCAGCAGGTTGGTTATACAAGAATGACCCTTCCCGAGACCATGTTGTTGAGGTGAGAAGTTTAAGGATAATAAATAGTCGTGTATACCATCGCATATCAGGGACTCCATAATTTTTGAAGATATTGAGAGATAAGACATCGGTCGTTAACTTGGAGGTTGGCTGCGTCGACCAGCTTCCAATTTTCCGGTAGTTTTCCTCGGTTTAGCGAGTTTGAGAACATCACACTAAGCGGTGTTGCCAGGATTGAAGCTGCTTCCCTCGGTATAGCAGAATGAACAGTATCCGGGCCAGAAGGAGTGTTTTTTCTTAGGTGCTGCAGTTTTCGGAACACCAAGTCAGCGCTCAGGTTCACTTCGGAAAGTTCGGTGCAGTTGCCGATAAAGCTTTCATCAATATAGTTGATATGGGTCGGTTGAAATGTCCGAGAGTATTGTTCAACCAAAATGTTAGCGGCATCGCCGTCGTTATTGGTCAGGCCATTAGGACCTAGCAGTCGGGAAACTTCAGTTTTGGCTCATCGAAGAGAGGCTGCATAACGGAATAAGTTTTTCGGACTAGAGACAAATTTACCTATAAGCTTTATCTGGTACTGAAGCCTGTATTCTCTTATAGCCTTCGTGCATATGTTTGTATTAGCTGTACGCTCCGTTGTTATCCGTTCGTTTGTATTCTGCCCAACAGTCCCTTTTGCAGCTTAACAAACGAAGAGTGCGGTTCTTGATGATCATATGTTGCTTGTAGCTTTTGGTGACCATTTGGGGAACTGATTGATTGGTAGCACATAAGAACATGTGCAGTAAGAAATATCAATGAGCATCCACATAAAATTGAGGGTGAACATCCCAATCCACCTGTTGTAGGCAGTCCTGTAAAGCTGAAACATTCAACTGTTTGAAATTCCAGAGCCTGTTGTTGGTGGGATATATTAACTCAGTTTTGCTGACAAAACTAAAGGCTATAACGGCGTGAACGCTTTTCCCCAGAGGAGCCTGGATTGGGAGGTTTTCAGCAAGGAATTCTTTGTTTATGTATACCCAGTTTAAGCGTGACGGTATCTGACAGTTTCTCCAAGGAGTCGCCGACTTCACATTTTCAAATAATCCCAGATCCTCAATGAGGTTGAAGAACCAAGCTTCAGTTGAGTTTTCACCTCCAATATACGTATGTTCCACGAAAGTGACTCTAGGGAGGTTGAAGTTCCTTAGAACAGGATATGAGGGAATCCGATACGCGTAGAGCGGGATAATACCCCCAGCATACGATTGTCGTACGCGATGTCAACAGTGGGCTTCTCGTAGCTGACCCCAACTAGACACCTCTAGGTGGTGGGCAATGTTCCTGAGCACCATAAGGATCCACCATGATCGATAAACTCTTGATTGTGAACTTGGTGTGAGTGAGTTAAATTAGGGTAACAGACAAGTGTGGGGATTTATGGTTAGAGTTTGCAGTTTGACGTTGGGGCTGAAAATTAAAGTTAGGGTTTTCATCACGAATTGTGCTACCCATCGTGTTTTTCAGCAAAGTGTAACATGTGTTGTCGGTGTTTATTTCGGAAGCAGTAGATGTCTCAACCATTCCCGTCCACTTCCAGTAGATCCCACAATCATTCAACACATATCACCTAGGTTGGTGATCAACATTTGTTTGACCTACTACTGGAATGAACTACCGATACGAATGGAGAAAAAGCAGAGAAAGAAAGAAAGCAGAGTAAACCTACAGGCAGGCTGATCGTAACATGAGTTCATTTGCCCCTTCATATCATATGATATCTACTGATACTGGACCTTGATAACATACTGAAGCCCACTAATTTTTCGAAATCCCCGACTTACTGAACGATTTTCGGTAAGCAACGAATCACTTATGAATCGAGCCACAAAATAATTTATATCAAATATACAACTCTTTCAATGAAATTTGAACTTGACTATTACTGTCCAGCGAAGTTAGCCTAAATATAGTATACGGAATATAAAGGAAGGTTTAAATATTTTGCGGCTCATTTATCGTTAGTTTTCATGGGGTTAGATCGCTAGCCAGGTATTGCAACACTTATACCCTTCAATCACAATCTAAGTAACATGTGCTTGGACGCCAAAGGTAACAGAAATACCAATTAATTACAAGTGAAGTTTAGTCATAATTGATGGAAATAAACAGTAGATAGTGAATGTAAATGTAATCACGTATAGAACGTTGCATAAACAGAGATATTCCAATTTGCTGTAGAGCGACGTTTCACCGTAGATGTTTTGCACACAAACGAACATATACGGCCTTCTCAGACTCATCTTTCCAAACTTCACAAAAACATTCGATTTAATCACCTTACGGCTTTGAATCAGTTCCTGGAGGTGTGAATATTATCACTTAACAAGCTCAATAAGAGCCATTAGTCAATATAGCACTAAATTGGCCTCAAAGAAAGCCCAAATCACTCAGGATAATGTGTACTGTCCGCCAGCACTGCTGGCATGGAGGATGTTCTGCAGATAGTCACTTGCTGAAATCTAAAGGGGATGTGAGGGTAGCGCCTGATGGTAATCTCGACAGAAACATGCCAAAGGAAGACGCAGGATATTATTCCACGGGAGAGATATCAAGGCATCCCCGTAAAACAAAAATACTGATAATGCAGTGTACTACGCTGAGGGATGAAAGTGCGCGGATAAATTCTCGAAGCTGAGAAAAACGATGACTCAGCATGTGGGTCGCAGGCACTGATCAATTCAGATTACCCTCATTTTTCTCCAGTTTGCGGTGGCCACAGACGCCAGTTAACAGATGGAATCCATATGCATCCAGAGGGGGGCACACGATGTGAAAATTAGGTACGAACGCAAATTATAACCGACAGTCTTACTTATGGACTGTCATGGACAAGGGACAAGCGTGGAGGATACAGAAACTACCCACTCAGGTGGATCTGAGTACGTAGATCATTAGAACGCTCGCTTGAGATTCATCCAAACTAATAGGAAGAGGGCCCTCACGCGTTCCAAATCGACGGAATTGTAGCTGTAAATAAATCCTCAAAATGAATAGCCCCGTAAGTCCTCGACATTGGATGCTGACCACATTAGTTTTGATGGACTCACCTAGCTGAAGGCACTCGGTCATGCACCTGCATCAGATCACTAGTGGGAACGCCGTGTTCAACATCTCCTGCAATTGCAAGCCAGATTAGATCAGTCAATCCTCAATATATTGATAGCCTATCAAATATATCTTCGAACCTCCTGGCTTCTCGCTTTTGATTTCACTAGATGGGTAGGATTCATATTAGGTGTTACTGGTTAAAACGGTGTCAAACTCCAAATACATGTGGAATCTTCCGCACCAATTGCTTATACACAGGCGCTGGGAGTTAACCGAACAATATAGATAAGCTGAGTGAACGAAGTCACGTTAATAAGACTCATCTGATGAGAATATCTGGAATATGGTGATCTTAAATACCATAGGGAGAGCTGCTACTAACCGGCATATGTTGTTTCTCAAATACACAAGTACTGAAATGCAATGCGTGGGAATCCTGAACCTACGTTTATGCTTTGTGGAGTGTCGAGAGTACACCAAAAGTCTTACCAATCTTGATGAGTCTCAGTGGGACTGTCTGACACTCCAAGATATCTAGTCCAAGTTATCAGCAGAAAACCCACTTGCGATAACGAGTTCAGCCTCATCCGTCTCGGATACACTTATATCCTAATCTATGGAGATTTCAATCTTCCTAAAGTCAA